ATCATGCAAAAATTTGTTTGACTAAAAATTTGGGTATCTACAGCTACATAAACAGTGTTTGACTAGATTGCAAAGGCGAACAAAGAAAAAGATTGTTTGGATCTGTATTTCAGGTAAACTTTATGAAGTTAGAGCATATGTTGCTTATCGCAGCATTTTTCTTCCTTGGAATGACAATGGGATGTTCTCATCTTACTTCCGACTTAATCGTATGTATTGTTAAGGAACTTTAGTCGAAATTTCAGGAGTTCCAGTGCTGTGGAAAATTCATCTCTTCTAAAACTTGCATGTAAACTTTTTCACTCACAGTCATTTGCATTCAACGATTTAGCAAGATATCGACAGATGGCCGACGTCTGAGAAATCTTGAGCTTTCCGTCGTCAACTTCCAACCAAGGCAACTTTCGCAATGGGGCATCTGAATAGTCAACGGAAGGATATCGAGTTTGTGGAAATTTGTTTTGGCTTATGTACGATTTTTTGGGGAAATTTGAGAAGGTTCTAATCTTAGTGAAATACTGAAACATAAGAAGATAGTAATTTAGCCTAAAGGTGGAATCCATATGATGGATTGACAAGCACCATCCTATGGGAATTCGCAAAGAATGTATAATTCAATCATCGTATTGCGAAATGTACATAAACTTTTGAGTGGATATGAGGATACTAAATCGTGAGTCTGCAAAACAGCAATAAGAAAGTTTTGATGGCCATTTTGAACAGCTGGCGTAGATGTTATTCAAAATGGTATCAAAACTTCTTATTTGTAGCGTTGAAGTTAGCATTAAAATGAGGACTAATTTGGAGGTAAACAAAATGAATTTTGGGAAAGCTGTACATACCAAAGGGGAAGGGTGACATATAACTCCTTCATTAGCCTATCCAGTACAGCAAAGAAATCCATTCTCACCTCCTTTCAAACTCGGCCATTCTTCCTCTTTGATACGATGATCATCGTACTTTGCGCCATAATATTCGAATATTAGACGAATTGGCTCCCCACGCCCTCGAACATCAAAATAATGTAGTCTATAGGTATGTTTCTGATTCTCCATCTGGATTAGGAAAGTCTAAACAAGCCAATAGCTCAATCTAACAATCGTAATTACTCCTAGGATACGAGAACGCAGTTCAAGGGAGTTGTAAAACCGCGTACTATGATGCTGGCACTTTTGGCTTCCCATAGCAAGCAAAGTTCGTAAATTACAGCATTTCTAACCGGGCAAGAAGAAAATTCTGCAGAGCTTCTTCGAGATCTAGTTCTGGCGCACTTACAGAGAATAAATAGAGAAGGTGATGGCTGAGTCTGTTGTTCCAAAAGTTCAGATCGAATTACCATAAATCTGTTCAGGAATTTATGAGCTAAATAGAAAGCACTATGTCAACAAATTCTTGACTGTTTTCATGTACTTAAATATTATTCATCGAAGAGGGTTTTGTACTCTAAGGAGCAAAACATCTTTCCTTGGGGACCCTAACTTTGGAAAATCTTGACTCATCTTGAAATAGGTCAAGGGTGAACATTTCTTAATATAGGCTAATGGCAAAAAAATCGAAGGGACCCACATTCGCTGTCACTAGAGATGCAGAAATGCTCTATCCAGTTTTTCCGTTTTCTTTTTGAGTTGATCAGCAAACGTAGCTCTTCGTTTTCCACCATACAATGTCTCAGGCACGCCCATTATTCGCAGTGCGCTTAAGGATTTATGCGAAATAATGGTGTCTTCATGTTTTCGATCTTTAAATTCGCAACTTTCTAATGATTTATTTTTTGGCTTTAGCACTGGTTCCCGGCAAATGTCACCTATATTCTAAGCAAAAATTCGCTTCGTACTTGTGGTCATGAAGATGGTGCATAAAAGAAGGAGTTCCGGATTTGATTTGCTAATCTTTCAAAGTATGAAATATTATGTTGGTCCGACGCTCCGTTCGCCATTATCAAAAACTCAAATCCTTGCTTTCTCGAAGTGTTTGCACAATTTTAGAAATTTTCTGAAAGGTAAAATCATGCGCTTTACTACAGGCTAACGCCACGCCCCCTTTTTTTAATATTTTGGGGGATAGAAACTGTAGGAG